CAAATCATATTGGAAAGATCCTGATGTATTTAATCCAGATAGATTCATGGATAAAGATAATCCAGATAGTAAAAATCGGCTTTATTTGTTTGGTGGAGGTTTGAGAGAGTGTAAGTATGTTTCTTTATAATTATAAAAGAATGCATAATCACATGATAATTTACCATCATTTATCTAATTGCAGGTCCAGGAAAAAAGTTGGCGATGATGGAATTAAAAGCTACCTTAGCAATGTTATACCGAAAATACAATATTGAATTGATGGGACCATTAAAAGAACGTACTGTGACAATAAGACATTGTGAGTTAAAAGTTAAAATGAGAAAAAAGAAGAGCTTGTGATAAACTGTAATTTTATTATTATCATACATTATTATCACGTTTCATAATAAAAATAGTTTGTTTCACCATCCATGTAATGTATAAAATCCATTATAATATTATTCTGATTTTTTCATCAATTATTTATTTATAATAATTCTGCACGCATTACATTCTATAATGAAAATTAAAGAAAATTGACATTATAAAACTAAATAATTTACACTTTACATCTCATACTTTAATTTTTACATATTTATCACTATAAACAATTGATCTCGCTTTATATATGACGATTTATATATATGTCTGATCCATATGTTATCTTTCTATCTCGTGTCGTCCTATATATATATATATATGTAAATAACCTATTCAAAATTTTTTTAAAAAAATATACAGTATAATAATTCACAACTTTTTTTTGCAATTACATTAGGTAATTTGGACGTAATGAATTTAAATTTCGTTTACTTTACTTGCATATGTTAATCAGCCAGCAATAATATATTTAGAACAAAATTTCTATTGTAAGAAATCCATCTGAAACATCTCTGGAGAAGAGAAGGAGAGGTGTCATGTGTGTATTAATCAAGTACATGAAGAAAAAAATAATGCAAATGATAAAAATGGTTGATATACAATTCGAAATCTCAAAAAAAAAAAAAAAGATAAAGATGATTTCAATGTATTCATTGTAGTTGAAAATAAGGAAAAAAATTTTATGGCACATTCTAATATATTGAAATACCGATCGTCTTATTTCTAAAAAGAATTAGAAAATACCAAATGAAAATAATAACATTTCCGCTCAAATTTTTGATATCATCCTTAAGTAACATTGTAATAATTAATATTTATAATTTTTTTTTTCATGTACATAGATATATTTATGGTGGTATTGTTAACTTGGAATGTAATGAAGCAGAAATATTTTTGATTTAATGTTGATAGCTAATGAATTTGAACTTGAAGAATAATCTAAGGAACTAGAAAATATTCTTATCAAAGATAGAGCTTCTTTGTTGAAAACACATTTTTCTTTTATTTATTATTCAATTTTTATTTCTAACAATTTTAAAGATTTAGAAAATTTTTGCAATGACATTGTTGCAAGGTATCCTAATATTATTTTTGATAATTCAAATTTACTTCTCTTCAAGAATCTGCCTTGGTATCTCTTCTCAAACAAGATGATTTGCAAATAGAAGAAATTAAAATTTGGGATTATGTTATCAAGTTATCAAGTGGGGAATTGCTCAGAATCTTACTCATCCTACAAGACTTGAAGAATGGACCAAGGAAATTTTCTTAGATTAAAAACTGATGTCTACATCAGTTATAGTTTCCGATTTGGGAGGTCACGGGTTAGTGTTACTTGTATTGGTAAGGAGACAATGTTCCGAGGTTAGTCTTTTTTTGAAAAGGGTTCGAGTGTTATTCTGAAAAGTTTGGTTTGTTGGAAATCTCTTCATTTGCCTGAAAAGGAAGCGAAAGTGCATCTTGTAATTTTATTAATATTATATTTAATTTACATAAGCTGTCCAGTCAATAGTTAGAAGTACCTGCTGATCTTTGCACCAAATGGGTTGTATATATTTACGGTCACGTTATTGTTAACTATAGCTATTACCGTGGTAAGCTTTAGCTTTAAACTATTCATAAATACAAAGTAAATTCATTATTTATTATTATCATAAAACATATACATATCTATAAAACTTTAATTTATTATAAATAAAAAGTACATTGTTGACTGACTATATCACCCATGCATAAATAATCTATAAAATCTTCCTTTATTTTTTCGTCGTTCCTTCCTCCTAATTGAAGAATTTTTAATTAAATATATATTACAAATCTAAACCTTATTTTTTTAATACATTTATTTACCTTTTCAACTTAAATATGTGTTTGATCTTTTAATATTAGTTAGATTTTCTAATTTGCACCTTTTGGATCTTATATTATCCAGATTGAAAGAAATAATGTAAGCAATGCAAATATTTGTAAAATTATATATCTAACTAAAAGAATAAAATAAGACACAACCATTGTCAGTTATATTATTAACAAATAAACTAGCTCCAAATACAGTATATAAAAAAATTTATTTGCTAACCATTGCTGCTATTAATTGTCCACAACTACAATTGTTATTACAAATGCTATTACCCAAACGGTATTTGCAGAACCTCCTTTAAAGAAGGTAACTCTTAAGGTATTAAGACGTCAAACTGGTCAACCAGGGGGTTGGAAGCAATAACAAATAATCATTCCATTAATTCTCCCGGATGAGGATGAAAGGAACATTATATATGCTTCAATTCTCTCAATGTAATATTTTACTCAACAGAATACAAGTGTGTCTATAGTATTCTATAATATTCATGTTTCATATACAATCATACGCATTTAGATAAATAGAATAATACATTTTTCCTGCATTTTACATTTAACATTTTTCATTTAGCATTTAATATTTAAATTTAGTGTTCACATTTTTCATTTAGCATTTAATATTTAAAATTTAGTGTTCACATTTTGCATTTAGCATTTAATATTTAGTGTTTACATTTGTTATTTAACATTTAATATTTTTTATTATACTATTTCACATTTTTTGACATAACAATAAACTTTTGGTTTACGTTAATTGTTAGGGCAATTCTTCATTTAGTAAAGAATCATCTGAATTTTTGTTCGTTTATTTTGAATTTTGAATTTTGAATTTATAACAAATGATTAAAAACTTTTGTCAAACAGTTCGGAAAAAACAACTTAGATGCATGTAAGTCATGTAATAGAATACAAGTTAATATAATATCATTTTGTTAAATAAAGCGTTATTATAGCGAGCGGGCAGGTTGCTTCGTGACCGTTGTATCTATTCCTCAGTATGAAAAAATTTCCTAAAAGAATTTCCTTTTTTTATTTCCACGATAAACGATAGCAAAATGACACACCTGGTGGATCAACAGATTAGGTAATGAATTATGAACTTTGGTTATTGTTATTTTTGCATATTTGGAACCTACTTCTTTCCTATCATTTTCAAGATGATTTTCAAGATGCTTTCCTGTGTGTTCTCAATAAATTTTGCGTATGAAATATTGAAGATATCGTTAATTTCTTTATTATTATTACAAATATTTTACACACTTCCTGATCCCTTTCCATTTCCATTTGTTGGTAATACTTTTCTAATTTTTAAAATTTTCACTTTTGACGTGGCAAAAGTTCAAGCTAAATATGGTGATTTATGGGAAATCTATATAGGATTCAACCGTTTTATTTTGTTGACCTTTTCAAACAATCATAAGGCCAATCACTCATAGCCCATTTCATAATAGAATAAATGATCATCAAAGTATTAAGGAAGTTGGTTTGTTGGACACTGGTTTAGTAGCTAATAATAATTATGACGATTGGCAATACCTTAGTATTTATTTATTACTTATTATTTTCTTATACTGTATATGTTTATCATTATAGTTTTATAGTTATTAGTATATTAATTTAGTCATGTAGTACCAATTATAATTTATTACTGAAAATAGTCTTTATGGAAATCCTTTGATGCACATTTGTAATACGAATCGTCATTATTTCAAATATTATAGTATAGTCACTATTTCTTTTATTATTTTATTATATACTTTTATATTAAAACTTTTTATATACTTGAAAATTAAGTATTGATCTAACTTTTTAATTAAAAAATAATTAATTAAATATAGTAATAACTATGCAAGCAAATCATTAAAGATATAATATTTAACTAATTATTCGATGTTCACATGATTTATTTCTATAAATCACGTGCCAACAATATTTAAAATAAGTCTATCAAAAAAATAACAATAGATTTATCAAAAACAATACCTTTTGCATTAGAGACACCCATTGATCTTTTGGGAGGTGTGATAGATCATTAGAACATTTTAATTCTGACAAATCTTGTATCAAGGGAAATTCTTTTAAGAAATTTTTTCATGCTGATCTGGAATACAACGGTCACAAATTCGCATAATTTTTATTTAAATTTTAACAATTTATTATAATAATATTACTTTATTTAACAAAATGAATGATATTATATTAACATACTGTACATGACTTACGTGCATCTAGGTAATTTTTTCGAACTGTTTGACAAAAGTTCTCAATCATTTGTTATAAAGTCAAAATTCAAAATAAAAGAACAAAAATTCAGATGATTCTTTACTAAACGAAGAATTGATCTAACAATTAATTTAAACCAAAAGTTTATTGTTATGCCAAAATTATAAAATAGTACAATAAAAAATATTAAATGCTAAATAAAAATGTAAAAACTAAATATTTAATGCTAAATGACAAATGTTAAATACAAAATGCAGGAAAAATGTATTATTCTATTTATAAATGTGTATGATTGCATATAAAACGTGAGAATTATAGAATACTATAGGCAATGATATTACCACACGTGTATTCTGTTGAGTAAAATATAAATATTACATCGGGATTACGTTCCTTTTATTCTCATCCAGGAGAATTGGTTCTCTCTTATAGCCACTCTCACCATAAGTTTGTTGACGTTTTACGGTCGTAACTAGTTGAGCATCATTAGTAGTATCCGGGAGAATGGGTTCTCTCTTCTTCCAACCAGGTCCAGCATAAAATGGGTTTTGGCGTCTTACGCGCGTAATTGGTTGAGCATTTGTAGTAGTGGGAGTGGGATTTTGAGGAATAGGATTTGCAAGACGGCCACGAAAAGGATAACCATGATAATGATGAATAATAATTTCATTTTTGTTATGATAAAGATGATATTAAAGATATTAAAGAAAGAAAGGATAAGTAATAAAGAATGTAAATTAGCGTGAATATGCTAATTGTAGTTGAGATTTAATATTAACAAAATGCAGACTTTTCAAAAAG